GTAAACACACTAAGAGTCAACACTTCTTTGAACTGAACTCACACTGATGTTCTGAGCTCTTCACAGCAGTTTGAACCATTAAACAAGTTGTACTCTTAGGTTGTTTGTCTTGGACTATAAAAGTGGGACATAACTGTTTGACTTCACCGGACTCCATGAACTGCAGCATATGCGAAATATAGAAATACATTTACAAGCTGTTATGGTTCAAGTAAAGGGAAGCTCAAATAAGGCCTTTTTGAATGAGGCTTTTCGTAAATGTAAATGGACTTGAGTTTGTTTCAACATCTTTTGTAACTAAGATAACCACTAGAACTGCAGAGCTAAACACTGAAGCTTCAGTGTCTGCAAAATGGCAAAACCTGCTTCCACATCCACTCTAAGGAATAGGATCCACTGGAGTAGCAATTTCAAACACAACGTGTCTAAGTTACATAAACAAATACATTTGTCCAAGTAGACATATATACTGTATATGTAATTATTTTCACCTTAGGGTAAGATAAACATCTTATTTCAAGACATGAAAAGCAAAATGATATAGGCCTTAATTACGCAAGCTCTAAGCGGAAATACATCTTAACATTTGATTGTATTCTGTTTTCCATGATTATGGGTACATGTTACAATGTAACAATGCTGGTTTTGCCATGATAACAAGTTTATTCCTTGAGATCTTGAGAAAACAGCCAAAATGTTCCTGTTATCCAGCGGAGAACTGGGCTAAATAAGATGTATGGACACATGTCCTCTTAGGGCTTCCGTACTGAAATGCTTAAAAAATATCCGCAGATGCTGCAAGCAAGTTTTACTCAAGTTTCTTTAAATGCAATCTTTATCTTAGTTGAGGAATTTAAGAACATTTGTCTTGCTGCATTGACAGCTAGTTTTACTCATTAGGAGAACTTCAGCCCTCCTTTCTGCCGTGTATCAGGATAGAAAGGAACAGATGTTGAACCTTCAGACCTTTAGTGTTTCTCACTGATGGGAGTTAAGCTTGTTCAACAAAACAGCAGTAGCCTGAACACGGCCTGTGGGTGTGTGTGTGTGTGTGTGTGTGCATGTGCGTGTGCGTGTGTGCGTGTGTGTGTGTGTGTGTGTGTGTGTGTGTAGGCGTGCTTCCAGTAGTTCCTGCCTGCTAATTTCCAGCCGTGTTTTCTCAGCTGCAGTTTCCATGAGAGGGGAGAGAAAATGTTTTCATAGATTTACTGCTATTACACCTCCTTATCCCCCCCTCTGCCCTCCCCTCTCTCCCCCCCCTTACCTCTCTGCTCCACGTTGACTTCAGCTGACGGCCTGACTGAAAACACACCTGGTGTTGGTATAAGGTGCAGTCTGTTCCTTCGGGCTGAGTGCTTCTATTCATGTTCCCGAGTGCTGACACAGCAAACAGTCACACACTGAATATTTTCATACTGACTGACCTCGCTGAAAGAAGTTTAAAGATATATTCAGTGACTTTTCAACACTAGAGGGCAGGAAGTGGGAAAAAAAACACAGTTGGAAGCTGTTTTGGACTATTTATATCCCAAAGAGCTCTTTGGCATTGGTGTTTAGTCCTTGCCTGGTCTTACATCCTCTGATGCTTTAGCCTTTATTTGGGTTTGCTTCAATATTTTTTTGTAATTAGGCCCCAGTACCGTAAATTACATTAGCATTTTGGGTCTGGTTTCAAGAACTGTTTGGCCCATAACCAGCAGAGTGTTAGCTTTGGTTTGGTCCAGTTTCCATTTGGGTTTTAAACTTGGCTTTGTCTCACATTTGTTTGTGTTGAAGCCCTTGTTTGGCCTCAAATTTAGCCTTTGTTTTTAATTGTATTCTCCATGTTTTATATATGGTTCAGTCTACTGTTGTAACCCTAGTTTGGTCCAATACTCATTGAACCAAACTTATGTTTCTTGACCAGATATTACCCACATTTCTTTCCTGATTTATTCTTGTGTATTTACTCCAGTTTGTTCCAGCCCATTTGGTCCAAACCGTGGTTTAGTCCTTCTCATGGTTTCTCTTTGGTTTGGCCTAATGTTCAAAGACCTGTGTGGGTCCAAGTATTACTCAGTTTGGGGATATATTCTCTGTTGGTTTAGCTCTGATTTGATGCAATATCTAAAGGTGAGTATCCATTGTTAGGTTCAACCTTTGTCTGTGTATCAGCCCTGAGTTGATTCAGTATCCAGTGAGGGGTTTAGCCTCATTTTCGAAACACTTCTTCAGGCATTTTGGATTTAAATCAGTATTCTCAGTTGATTTGGCCTGCTTGTTCCAGTTTCTGGCGGTGCCCTGATTTAGTCAAATTTGCAGCCAGTTGACTCCTGGTTGTTCTAAATTGCTTGCGTTCTAGCTGTCATTTGGCCTAGTGGTTTTTCCCCTAGCTTGGTACAATATTCCTTAGTCATTTCCACCTCTCTGGTGCATTAACCCTGGTCTGGTCTAATACTTTGTGTTCAGTTTAGCCCTGGTTAAGTCCAGTATTCAGCAGAGCTTCTGTTGTGGTACGATCAATTTTATGCCAGCATTTCATTGTTTTGTATTTTATCTTTTTAAAACATTTAGCCTCAGTTCAGTCAAGTATGATTGGGGGGTTTTAGCACACTGTTGGCACAATACTCTTTGGGTCTCCAAACTAATGCATGCACAGAATTTAAAAACTAAATCTTATTGTTTGTCGTTGATTTCTGCTGCAATGAAGAGGTTAAAACATTCACAGCTCTGGTGGGAATTTCCTTTGTGTGTTAATCATTGTGATCAGCAGTCTCTCCAACTCAAACACGCACAGCCAAAGCTTCAGCAGTCCAAAGCTTCAGCAGTCCAACACACAGAGCGATTTTAATCTGACGTCAGCATCCAAACACACACACATACACGGTACCAGGTTGGTTCCCACAATACCCCAGCCAGTGTTTGTCCAACTTGCTGCTCCATTTCACATCATGAAACAATAGAACGCACGCACAGTAAGTGGTTCCAGTGGTTTATGGAGCAGTGCTGCGTCAATGCTGACCTCCAACTGCCCACAAAACAGAACGAGGGTGAGGAGGGGGGACGGAGGGGAGGGGAGATACGACCCGTTCTTACAACATTATGAGGTGGAAAGTACTTTAGGTCATTTAGTTAATTGCCGTATTAGATAACACTTTTAAATGATCGACTTTTCCCTCAGGTTCTCTCTTGTGAGAATTTTCTAAGTTCTACTTTTTTTATATGAATTCATGCTGGAAACATGAGTGTGTGTGTGTGTGTGTGTGTGTGTGCCTGCGTGTGTTTGGATGAGTTAGATGAGGTTTAAAGTGTACAAAAGTAAAATCTGATATAAGACATTTAATGCTGATCAAAACATGGTATTACAGAACTAATGACTCTGGTGTTTAAAGTATTTCTTTAGCTGCTTACGATAAACAATAATTAACAGTTAGTTCAGGGAATAACACATAAGTGGTTTTCCATGTAATTTGGTTCGGACGTTCATCATCCCCAGAGGAATGTTCCTGCTCTCTCTGACTGCTTTTCCATCAAAAATGAGGTCTGTGGTTTAAAATAAATGTCTTATGTTACATGTCATGTGTGTGTTTTATAAGATGCTGTATATTGGATTCATTGAATTTTCCTCAGGATCAATAAAGTATCTATCTATCTATCTATCTATCTATCTATTAGTAAGGCACAGAATGATGAAAAATTATTAAGATTTACATGTTCCCTTTAGGTTGTACATACATTGTGTGAATTGAGATCATTTCTCCCTACTGATTTTAAAGTCAAGCCTGATATCCGCTTCATCTCATGTCGTTTGTCCTGCAGTGTACAGTAGGGCACGAGGGCCAATCACAGCCATATCAGCTGCTTCTGACTAGTCAGATGAACGTCTGCGGTGATAGAAATTTTGGTTCTACGATTGCAATAACACTCACACGTTTGAGAGCAGAGCAATGCTGTTTAGGGCGTCCCCTCTCTCTGACATGTCTCCACTAATGCATGTCTCTAGCTCCTGTGTGTGCCTGTGTGTTTTTCAGGCCTTTCGTGTGCTGCATGTCTCTCAATAACAGAGTGCAAACCTGAAGTTTCTTGAGGTTGTCAGGTGATGTAATCATGCGTCATTTTGGAAAGATGGTAAATTAACACACCCGTGCTGCAGCTCCACAGAGTGCACATCGATGGCCTCTACTTTTCTAAGATCTTTTTTTGACCTCCATGCCGGTCACATGACTGAGGAACAAGCACAGTGAATATTTAGTTCCCCTTCCCCTCTAATAATCTTGCCTGGATGAGACAAAATACATCTTTTATCACCAGAGTAATGTAGACTAGTTCCTGGTTTCTGTTCTTGTTTTGACCCATCTGCTCCACGTTTATTAAACTGGATTACCTGAGTCATCACAGCACACTGAGGTCACTGAAACACCAAAAGGCATCAGAGAAAAGATGGAGGGACAAAAGAGTGTTTTTACTCATGTCCAAACAGGAGAAAAAAACATGATGATCCCTCATAACAATGCCTCCCTGAGAACCTGAGCTATATGGCTCAACACGAGAATAAACTAAAGATAAATCAGAGAAGAGTTTAGTCTGCACTTCACTTTGAGTTTGAACTCTTGACCACATTTGAACTTTTACGAGCCCCCATCAGAAAATAAAATCTCTTTGTAAGAGCCTTTTTCTCTAAATAACCTTCTCTGAACAGTTTATTTAAAAATAATGAGACTGTTTCAGACGTTTAGATGTTCCCAGTGCTCTGATGAATCTCCCTCCTGTGACTCTCTGCACTCTGAATGTCTACAAGTTGTTCAGGTACTCTCGATCAGCTGAGCAGAGAAGCAACAGTGCCACCTGCTGGTTTTACTTGGAAACATGAAACTAAAACTTTAAGGTCTTTCCTCTCTTGCAGAGTCCCCCCCCCGCGACCCAGATGAGGAAAAGCTGTAAAGATAATGGATGATAATAATGATAATGAAAGATTGAATGGAGGAGTGTGCTCAGCTTGAAAGACAAACGTGTGCATTTAGTTATTTTAAAATAAACAGTGTTTTATCTTAAAGTTGGAAACATAATCAATAAAATACAACACAATGACCACATCAGGCGGTGTGTGTGAATGTGTGCGTGTGTGAATGTGTGTGTGTGTGTGTGTGTGTGTCCAGTATACAGTGTCCCACAGTTTTACTTCATAGAGTAAATACAAACAATGGAGACAAACATAAAAACAGATAAAAATAAAGGCTTGAGAGTTTCCGTACATTCATTACAGCAGAGTAACAGTCAGTGTGCAGTCCGTCTCTGTGTCACAGCTGTGCGTTTTACAAAAAGGAGTGTTTACTGATTGATCATCATGCCGGACCAATCACATCCACTTCTATCCCTCTCTGACCAATCAGATTACAGCTACAGGCCCTGATGTCATCAGAGCTCGTCCTGCAGAGAGAGGAATTTAAATTAGAAACCGGTCAGACAGGTTCACAGATAGGTTTCTTGTGTTTGAATTTGGGTTTTAGGAGAGTTACCTTTGGTATGTTTTGTAACCGTGGTAACAGCTGTTGTAGCCGCTCTCTGATGTTGTCAGCGATTGTGTTAGCATCCCGGCTATTGATGTGTTCTCCACTCTGTTGGTGCTGTAGAAACACAAAAAGTTCTGTCACTCTTGAGCCCTTCACTCTGATCTTGAAGGTTTTTTTTAACTAAAACCTCACTCTTAAAGTAATACTTTAAAAAAATACTCCACTGTTTTTGCAACAAAAAAAAAAATCAGTTTGTTATTTATTTACATTTGTTTCAGATGGGCCTTTCCACCCACTCCACACTCTGCTTTTGTGAACGGGGTAAAAAAAAATCACCAGGTTGTGTTCACACCTGCAGATAACCCAAAAAATGTCAGGAAGTTTTCAAGAGTTTTGTGAAAGTGTGAAAGAACCAAAAGTGTGACAGATTACTCAAGCACCGTGTTAAGAAGGTTGGTTCTTTCCTAATGTCATGCTCTTCTCCATTTCATGTCCTTGCAATATAACGTAATGTTGAAGATGGACCCTTCATTTCTGTGGTAGTGTGGCTGTTTTTTGTGTGTGTGTGTGTGTGTGTGCGTGTGCGTCCCCTCACCCTCTTTGCTCCCAGGTATGGAGAGAATCTGACGGTCGGGTACGAGGTTATTCCTGCTGACTGGCAGAGCTGATAGTGAGTCTGACAGTCAATCTTCCCCGCTCGAACCTCGCCTTTAACAACCTACCGATCACACAGATAAAACATTTTGCAAACCTTTCCTCAAAGATAATCTCTGGAGGAGTTGAGGTTTAATTTGTCTGAAGATGTCATACCCGAGCTAAGACCTCAAACTCTGGGGCGAAGTGTTGACAGGGTCCACACCATGGAGCGTAAAAGTCCAGAACCCAGTGATCCTTACTCGACAGAAACAGAGTCCTGAAGGTATCTGGGGTCAGGTCCACGGACGATCGGGGTAAAGTGCTGAAATCACAAGATTTACATCAACTGAACATGATTTCTTTATTCATCCGCATTATCCCAATCATTGAATCTTTTGGCAGCGGAAAGGTCAAATAAATAAGAATAAGATGCTTTGTGACTCACCTCAGAGCCCATGATCTCAGTGTGTGGGCGTCTCTGTGCCAGCCATTATAACTCCTGAAGAGACAGACAGACGGATTATTTAGTAAAGGGATACATAAAAATACCCATGCTCTGAATCAGACCTTATGTGTTAATACATCTAATGGGAATATACAAGGACCTAACACAGAGCCCTGAGGAACTCCACACCTGATCACAGCATTGATATATTATCAACTTTTAATCAGGGCTGTGCACAATAAGTCATGTCAACAGTGGCACTAATGAAAACAATGACTGCAGGAGTGCAATATAAAGCCAAGAGAGGAAGTTGCAATCATGCTCGTTGAAGCTAAGCAGAGAGCTGTCGCCTACACTACAGCCTTATTTTGTTAAAGAATTCTGTCAAGAAAGGGAAATATTTGGTTAACACAACCCTTGGTTTTGAACAATTGTGTGTAGAAAAATTCCCTCACTAAAATGTTTTTATGTATAAGTGGTACATACATGAAGCGGTCTGGCTGTCGAGAGTTGCCAAGGTACACTCGGATTTCAGGGTAGGCTCTCACGTTCTGACTCTGACAGAACGACTGAAACTGCTGACAGTCGACCGAACCGACCTGGATCTGACCAGAGAGCATCTGCACGGTGAATAGAGGGGGAGAAAGACACACATTACATCACTGCACTGGACTGTCCCAGATAGTCTTGAATTGCTATAACATGTTTTGGAAGTTGTACGGTCAAACAGTTTGTTTATTTCGATGCAGGTTTTTCTCAACAGTTCAGGTTGTTTCTGTGTGTGTTTACGGTGTGTGTCGTACCCGAGCCATGCGTCTCCACTCCGGCTTCAGAGCTTGACAGGGACCACACCATGGAGCGTAGAAATCCACCGCCCACACCTGGCCTTCAGATCGACCTGCGACCAACATGACTAATATTAAATATTTAGCAGAAGGAGCTAGAAAGGGAACTAGGAACTTGTTTTTTAAGGGTTCTCAAGTTGTTGGTGAGTGAGCAACTGATTATAACTGGCTCCTTACCTTTTACTTTGTCTGCAAAGCTCGAAGGATCCAGGACCACCACAGATGGAGTTACCAGATCCTGCAGAGACAGAAAGTATCCGGTTCAACCGAACATGCTGCTCTCCAAGTTTTGATCAAACCACTTTCCGATGAAACTGTTTTGGTAAGGTTGCAGCAGTGTGCAGGGCTGTTGATCGCTGTATGAGTCTGTTTATTTCACGATTACATAACTGCATGCATAGAATAATTTCCTGCATGCAAGAGCAACAGAAGTGGTGCTCATGTGTGATACTTGTATGTATAGAGGGTATGCACGGGACCTGCAGTTTGAGTCTGTGACAGGCAGAAAGCACGTACTGATGTCAGGAATCAATATGAAGTTAGCGGTTAACGGCCTGAATTCAGAGAACCGGGTGGATGTGTACATTAATGCTCTGTTTTATGTACTTCCATGGCTTTGAAATCAGGTACATGTAAAAGACAGGCAACCTGATTTATGGCCAAATGTCAATATCCGCAGGCCACTGTGTCTTTGTACTCCCAATTTTGTTGTGTCTCCAACTAAAGACAGTCAGACTGAGCGGGCATGGTCCGATCTAAGAGCGATGTCGATGCATTCCCCCTTTGATGATTATGTTTTATTACCTGTATGAACTCCAGGATGCCGTCAGCTGAGTGTTGTCCTTCATACTCATGAACAGAGGAGCGGTTAAAGATGACAGTGGTGGGATAACTCTGAATATTATACTGAGAAAGAGAGAGAAAGACACTGAATGATCAACCCATCTGTGGCACAGTGATAATGGTGCAGTCCAGGTATGTTCTGTCCTACCATGGAGCACAGGTTTTGGTGAATTGTACAGTCCAGGGTGCCAAACTTCATCTGTCCGGCCAACTGGATTGAAGCTTTCCTCAGTTCAGGCAGTAAGGCTCGACACGGAGGACACCACTGAAAAGATGAAGCTAATTTTTAATAATTAAAGAAAGTTACATCACAATACTTACTTTGTTAAAGCCTCAGGACAATAATTTTCTCAGCTCCTATTGGACGATTATTTTCTCCTGTTGGCTCTACGCTGACATGCAACACTGAGTTTGATTCCTGCTTGCATCACCGTGTCTATTATTTGATTTGTAGGTGTAACATCTGAACCTCCAGCCCTGAAAGTAAACAGGGAGTCGTCAGGCGGGGACACAAGAACTATGAAACCATCTGAAGCCAAGTCAAGTTTTTAGTAATGACGTGGATTTATCACTGGTAGATGTACCAGCAGGAGGATATAAAGGTGAAACGTTACTTTATGTTCTCCTGTTATGACACACTGAAGTCTGATTAACTAACAACTGCTGAGTGTTTCAGGCCAAAGATGTGTATCAATATCAAAGATCAAAAAGAGACACACACATCCCTTAGTGGATGCAGGATCAAAAACAAACAGGTAAAAATAAGCTATTAACTACATATAACTTATACATATTAACTTAAAGGAGACATATTATCCCCCTTTTCCACCTTTTCATACAGTCCCCTGTGGTCTAAATGAAACATCTGTGCTGTGCTTTGGTCAAAATATAACATGAATCAAGCACCAGAGGAGGTTTGTGACCCTGTATAAACCAGCTATCTCAGAACGCTCTGTTTTGGTGTGTGTCTCTTTAAATACAATGTGCCCCCCACCCATGAGGTTTCCCGGTTGACATCACTCCTCTGTAGGAGAATAAAAATGGCGGACCTGCGCATACGTTTTGTTCTAGGCTGGAGGTGGAGTCCATGGGTGGAGATACGAGGGGAGGGGAGGGGAGGGGAGGGGATTTTTTTAAACCATAATCCCACTGTGATGTCACAAGGACAGCAAATTTGAAACAGAGCACTTTTCTCTGTGTTGTAAGACTTATGCAGACCTCAAACAAAGGACTGGATGGGATTATATCATATTTTGTGGGTCAGTAGACACTCAGGTTACCAAAATATATGTTCAACAACACTGTCACAGTGGATTTTTCATAATATGTCCCCTTTAAGAATCATTAAAAAAATCTGTAACCCTGAAGCAGATTGTACATTTTTGTTCACTGGGCCTTGACAAACTGCTGTTGTTTTAGTATTGCCCAAAAGGTCATGTTAGCTCCTTTTAGGTTCTCATGATTGTTGGACATCCATACACACAAATAATGTGCCAAAATGTGTTCTTTATAAATCATCAGAAACTTTTTGCAAATTTGCACTTTGTATTTTTAATGAGATGTGACGCTTTTCTTCTGTGTTATAAATGTGCTATACAAAAGAAAAAACACAGCTGTCATCCTTATCTCTTTTTGGGTATTTAGACCATGGTAAACAACGGACTGATGGAGCCTTTTTCCATTACAGTCTGGGATTTCTGCGTCATGAGAATCACTATTTTCGAATAAAACTAAAGTCGTTCCTGAGCAGGTGAAACTCATCAAAACGAGATTGTGTCTTCAGATTGAAAGTAGCCATTCACAAACCGGAGCGAAGAAGTCGACCAGCCAGGGCTCCTTTCTGTTGGAGGGAAAGTTGTCAGGTCTCAGAGTCGTCACATAAGCGCTGACGCTGTCCCTGGCAAAAGCCACAATGTTGTACAACACGTCTTTACCTGAAGAAAAACAACAAACACACCTGTTAGAGAAAATGAGCGCTTATCCTTTCATTAGGGATAACTAGACAGAGAGTGTTGTACTGACCGTGGTGGATCTCAAAGTCGTGTATTCCCAGACCTTTAAAGACGGCTACACACGGTTTATGGATGTACAGAGACTCACACAAGCCTGAGTCTGATATACAATCCACTCTGCCCACCTGGAGAGACACAGACAGTCAGGTGGATGTAGAGACAGTCAGGTGGATGTAGAGACAGTCAGGTGGATGTACAGACAGTCAGGTGGATGTACAGACAGTCAGGTGGATGTTGAGACAGTAGAGACAGGTGGATGTTCAGACAGTCAGGTGGATGTAGAGACAGTCAGGTGGATGTAGAGACAGTCAGGTGGATGTACAGACAGTCAGGTGGCTGTAGAGACAGTCAGGTGGCTGTACAGACAGTCAGGTGGATGGTCAGACAGTTTTAGATACCTGTATGTGGTCATTTCGTAGCGCGGCTTGTAGCTTCTTGTACTCGTTGGAGGCGGGGCTTTTGTTTCCGAATGTAAAACTGACCAACCAGCGATGGTGAGCCAGCTTCCTCTGGAGACAGGAAGTGACATGCGATTAGCAGGATGTATATGTCAGCATTGAAAGCTGTTTATTTCTGAATGTGTACCTTAAAGCTTTCACTGGTCAGCAGCTCCAGATCAGGAAGATGATCGATGACCTGATTATAAATCTCTCTACTGTCCAGAGTTTTCAGCCACTGAAACATAAAAAAAAACACAGTCAGTCAGTGCTCCAGTCCTACATGAAGTATTACTACAGGCAGCGCTGGAGTTCTCCCGATACCAGAATGTCAATTTAACAGCACTGATACCTGTTTGGATACCATGGCAACACAAACAGAAGTCCTTGACGCCTTAAACTGGGTAATGTCAAACAATGCAAATTCCATGCAAATTCCTGCACACACCGTCTAAATTCACATCACAACATTGCCAAAATATTTGTACATTTGAGCCAGTGGTGTCCATCTTTAGTCTTATTCAGGCTGCATGTTCAAGGTGCAATATTTAAGCCCCTGTGACGTTTCAAGTTCAATGTGCCAATGTCACAGAAAGGGCAGTGGGTGGACGAGGTGATCCCCTCTCTGTGCCACTGGAGGTAGTAACAAGAGTTGTTCCAGGGGTGAGACGGGATCGGTGGTGTCAGTGGGGGAGAACAGCGCTGTGTGTGTATGTGGAGCTGCTGTTGCTTCTCCATGCGGTGGTGAATTCACAGACTGGGACACCACTATTGCAGAGTTGCAGAATCAGTGATGATGGCAAGGTGCTGTTGTGGTGTCACACTTTGAAACGGGCTTTTCTCTTGCAGCAGCTTTTGGTTTAAAAAACAAGTTGTTTTTTTTAAAGCTTAATCACTTTTTGATACTATGATTCATTACAATAACAGAGCTTGTACTGTATGTACACACAGTCAGTCATGTGTGTCTTACCAGGACGCTGCCTTGTTGATCCAGAGAGCTCCCAGGTGGGAACAAAGCAGTCGCTCCACTGGTCACCTGAAACACAGCAGAAGGTTAACTTGCTAACGTCAGTACAGCTACACATCGTTCCATTATAATAAGATGACAACACAGTGAAAATCGTCTCTGAACAGATCAGGTGAGATCTACAGCTTACAGCCTTCATATACAGCTGGTGTAAAATAAAAACAGTGACATCTGGTGGTCAAATACAACAACTACAACATAAGGTCATTTAACAGTCCTCTGTGATTGGACAGATGAAATGACCTCAACTCATAGAAAACTAATGCAGGAGTAAAACAAAGTCATATCTGAGGGATCTTAAACAGAGAATACATCGCTGACACCTGGTATACCCTCTGCTCCTCCTCATCCTCCAAGGTGTCCCACCTTTCAAAACTATGTTTGAACTTAGTTATCAACCCAGTAATCAATCATCACGCCAACAGAAGGATAACAAGATAACCACCAAAAAAGGAACTCATCATTTTTCAGTTCAGAGAAGTGAACCGAGCTGCTAAACGGTTATGTCTCTTTTCAGCCGCAGCTTTAAGTCTCACCTGAAAACTTTCACAGAGCTGTTCCTGTGAGGTGCAGTCCATCCATCCCACCTTTACTAAGCCGTCCTACAAGAACACACACACACACACACACACACACACACACAGTTATTTTGTTACAACTTTTGTGACAGAGATGTGTGGTGCATGGAGTCAAGAGGACCTTTACTTATCCTGTGTGCTATTTTACTGATTGCAGGTTTGACCATTTAAAATCATGTCAGCTCGCCATTTGAGGCCGGTCTCAAATGAAAACAGATTTATATGGATGCATCTCAGAGTGGATTGAATATTCTGTCTTTTGCCATCTGAAAAAGCACCAATTGTGAAGTCAAGTGTATATGACTTTAGAGTGTCGTAATATTTTCTCCTATTAGTAGACGCTACATGTAGTTAAGAGTGGCATAAAATGACTGATGTGCTCTCACCAACATCCCGGCCACCTTCTGCCGTGTTTTTGACTCCAGGCAATCTGAGAGAGAGAGAGAGAGAGCGAGAGCGACAGAGAGAGACAGAGAGGTGTGAGTGAGAGAGAGAGAGAGAGAGAGAGAGACAGAGACAGAGACAGAGACAGAGAGATGAGAGATGAGTACAACGTTATTTTCCTCCTTAGACTTAGAAAAATATAAAAAAACACTTCATATTTGATTTCTAGTTCGCTTAGTAAAATGCATGGCTCTCTGAAAAGTCTGTAGGCCTGTTCAGACTGTCGTTTCAAGCCGCGATGTTTACGCTGCTGTGACCTTCAATCTGATTGTCACAGAGGCGTAATGGGGGGACGAAGTGATCCCCCCCCTCTGTACCATCTTCAGAGGTAGAACCAGAGGCGTTACAGAGATGAGGCGGTTTCAGCTGAGCCAGCGAGGGAGCACAGCGCTGTATGTGCGTGCATTTCTATTTGTGTGTTTATGTGGAGCTCCCGCTGTGCCGTGATTCTGCAACTACCAATTGCAACTTGAATTCACAGACAGTCTGTGATTTCTGTTTGTTTTTTTGTATTTTTATTCTGACTGAATCTGGTGTCTTGGCCAAGTCTCTTTTTGGTATGACGGTGCGACAGGAACACTTTCAGGCTTGAACTCTACTGTTACCTCCAGTGTCAGAGCAGAAGGTGATCAACCAGCCGAGGCCTGATGAGAACGCAGACTCGATCTCATCGAACATGTTACCTGGAAGAAACACAACCGCACCCAACAGGTCAGACCACACAGGACAATAAAAACCTCAATGTGAGACCACACAGAGTGATGAAATGATTCAAGATAAAGACGTTAATAATCTTTAATGATTACCCTGCCACAGCTCAGTGATGGTCGTTGTGATGAACTGCATGGAAAAGCTGATCAGGTTGTTTTTGGTACGCTCCCCGTTAAACTTCTCGGGTCTCTAGAAAATAAAAAATGATGTGTTAATCAAAAATTCAACAGGACGGCTGAGATGCAAAGCAAACAGAGTCTCATTCAATTTATTCAGCGTCTAAAGTTTGTGACGGACGAAACTGAAATCAAATCTTGACTTAAAAGTCAGCAGGTGAGCCGTCAGCGGAGGGGGCAGATTCTGCTGATAGCCGAGTCGTACTCGTGTGAACATGCAGGTTTGTGTGTAGTGTAAACACAGAGAAGAGGATTTAAACACCATGAGAAAGCAGGGATGTCATCAGACAAGGACCCAAAAAAAAAACAAGAACGGTAGCAAAAAGGGAAAAATGTAATAAAAATGTTGACAAATATTTTTGTCTGCAGCAAAAAACCTGTTGCTTAATACCTTTATACTGTCAAATAGACGCTGTTTAACAGTTTGCACCATCAGCTAAGGAGAGTCTCTCGGTCTCGCACAGAAAGTTTGAAGCACCAAACATTTATTTTCCTTCACTCTGACTCAGTTTATGCATCAATGTGTGCATTTATTTGCACTGCAGAATATTGTAATCATGATCATTAAATCTATTCATTTGCTTTATTTATCATTGCTACATGCATGCTAGTAAATGACATCGTCCAGCTTATACTGTACAACAGTAAAAGCCCATTTTGAATTAAACCAACCGATGTCTGGACCTCGCTGACATCTTCACCTGTCACTTTCTCTCTGCTTGTTTGTGTTCTGCTCCTTCAACAAATCTTTATCAGCAGTTGGTTTTATGAAGTCGCCAAAAAAAAACACAACTCCTGTTTGAAAAGGATTCACTCGGGATTCTGTAACACGACCGGTGAGCTTATCATCAGTGACTAAGTGAGTGACGAATTAAAGCTGCAGCAACCAGCTGAACAAAATGATCATGACGACGACATTACAAGTTGAATATATAACACGAGATGTAGCATCAGAAGCGATCCATTGAAGGATGGGGTGTAACAAAGGGCGCCTCGCTGTTAGCTGTTAGCTGTTAGCTGCAGAGTCAGAGCATGTATCAGACACTACATGAACTACATGCACGAGAAGAACAGAACGAGGGCGGATCATCTGTCAGTTTATTCTTCTTAGATGAGAATCTACATGCGGGCAACACTTTCATGGATGATTCAAGTCTTGTTGGTCATCTTTTCAGGTCGGGAAGGATAAATTTGGACGAATCATCCCTTAAAAAAAAAAAAAATGTCCCCCATCCTGACAGATCCTCTGCAGAAGTCTTCACCGTAGCAGGCCACACTGCGTTCACATTTAATGAAGGATAATGAAAGAGTTAATCAACAGAACACACTGACCTGCCCTGCTCTGAATACGTAGAGGCTGGGGTAGCTGTTGATGCCTCTCCTCCTGCAGAGATGGTTGTTGTCTCCACAGTTCACCGCTCCGATCCGGATCACTCCGTCCATCTCTTTGGCAAACTCCCTCCACTGAGAGACAGATGGGGGGGGGGGGGGGGAGATATACTTTATTAATCCCATGAGGGGAAATTCTATTTTTACACTCTGTTGATGAAGCAGCGGCTTGCTCAAGTGCACCTCGGCAGTGCTCAGGAAGAGGACTGACACCTCTCCAGCTACCAGACCAACCCTCCAGACGTGGTCCCCACCCAGACTTGAACCGACCCAAGTCCCTACAGACTGAGCTACTGCCGCCCAATGGGACGGTGTAATACTTATTTTTGTTCAAATGTGAGAAGAAATGTAACTAGTAACTTGAAACTTGTTCAAATAATAAACCTGCCTCCAAAGTGAGAATTGAATACATGAATAGATGTCTCATCTTTGTTCTTATTGAGGGTGTCAGTGTTATATTACCGTTGGAGCCAGCTGGTGACAGTGTGAACATCGCGGGGAATAGAAGTTGATAAACCAGATCTCTCCAGAGTTCACTGCTGCCTCTGAAACACACACACACACACACGCACACACACACAAACCAGTTGTTACCTTGTTACCTGTCCACTGTCCCTCACATTTGAATGTTTGAACAGTTTTGATGACACTTCACAGCCATGAAAACCACACGTTATGGTGACTGGGAAGTTCAAACCCAAACACAAAACTGTGAAACACTTTTCGATGGCTGAGACAAATTTACACTTTTATCAGTCCTTAAACAAATTCCCAAACGGCAGAATCTTGACGGAAAGGGAATGTACCAAAATGACAGAAGTGACCCATCACCGAGAAGAGATTGAGTGAAAAGTCAATAATAAATAATAACTTTGTTTTGACGGTGTCGTTAACTGTCTCAGGTTTGTTCTGCGAAACATCACTTGATCACCATAAAGTCTGTATAACACATTTCCTGCAAGAAATGAGTGGATATATTTGGCAGTAAATGTTTCTGGACAGCAAAATAAAATATGTGACGGCTCAGAAATAACAAAAACATCCACGGTTAGCAGGATGAGAGGTTGCCATGGTTGCTGCTTCTTCTTTCTACTTTTTGACGGATGTGCAAACCAACTATGTGCATATTGCAAAGTCATGATCGAAATGTAACTTACACAAGTGTACTCGGGCACAGAACGATGTTACTAATGTGAACTCAGACCAGCGGGGGAGGGGGAAGGGGGAGCAATCGTTCTCAGGCTGTAGCTCTTACCAAAGTCTCCGCTGTCTAATGTGATGATCTCCAAATCATCGTCATAGATACCTGGACAGAAGGACAGATTCAGTCAACATTTTAACTTGACAAGACCAGATTTATCTTATTTTAAAATCAGAACATTGAAATCTCCTGTCATGATTTATATCATGTATCGCTGTCATGGTTAACTGTGACTGTGCAACCTTACCAAAGTCATATCTGTAGTAGTTCCAGCTCTCGTAGCGTCCGCCTTGCTGCTGCTCGTCCAATCCTTTTTCTCCATATTTGTCATATTTCTTCCTGAGGTCCTGGTCCTTCAGAACCTCGTAAGCTCGGTTCACCACCAGGAACTTCTCGTGTGCTGAGGGGTCGCCCTAAAACATGACATTTCATTATTGATTTGACCTTTGCTGACTAGAGTTGTGTCACTTTTTGGTGGGTGATTCCAGCTTGAAAAGCAGTATTTACCGTTTCATAATAAGGTGTTTAAGGGTTAATAAAAGGTTGGGGTTTCTCAGAGTAACTCACAGGGTTTTTGTCGGGGTGCATGGTGAGCGCCAGCTTCTTGAACGCCTGGCGTATCTCTCTGGTCGTCGCCTCCCTGTTGACCCCCAGCAGTTTGTAAAAATCTCGACTCTCTGCCCAAACAGCCACCAGCAGGACGACGAGGAGCAGCAGCCGCTGAATGAGCCCGACTGCACGACGCCCCCGAACCCCAAGGACGACCCTGTGCCCCATCACCAGTCCTCCCAGTAATGACCAGCAACTAGAACACACAGGAACAAACATTCTTCTGTCATTGTAGTCTAGATGAGCATGATCAGTGCTACTATGCCACCCAACCCCGCAGCTCTTTAAAAAAGACAGCCATGCTACTTTACAGCCCTTGTTGTAATTGCACTATTTGCTCAGGGTTCTCCCCCGCTCTCTCTCTCTCTCTCTCTGATATGTGTCTGTGGAGGATTGGCTTAGAGTGTCAGGAGGAGTGTCTGCAGCCAATTAGCCCCGTCCACTTCCCCAATCTTTACACCCTACATCCTTCAGTTTTGGTTAAAGCTGACGGCATGAGCAGCATTTCACAAGTGGAGTCCTAACCATTTCTCTTTATCAATCAATCTTTATTTGAATAGTGCCAATTCCATGACTTATTCTTGGTGTAAATATACATTTCAAATGTTTGATGAAAGCTCAAATAAGGCTTCAACGTCTGACTGAGACAGAGAAAACTAATATCTTCCTAAGTTTCCGAATTTTAAGCCCAGAAGTCAAATAGAATATACAACAGTAACTTCCAACAATTTCATCAACTGAAACTTTGCATTTGATGTCGGTTCAGTTTATTTGTCCTCCAACATATCACTGAAAATAAATATGCAATCGCTGGGAGGCACCTGAAAATATTGAAAGCAGAAGGATTCGATTTTTCTGAGTGAAAATCGAATGATATCGATACCCGTTTGGATGCCAAGGCAATAAAACAAACAAATTAGTCATTGGCGCCCAATATTAGATCATTTCTTCTGGTCTATCAGCAAGTAAAGCAGGCAATCCCTTGCTCAGTGTCTTCACTTCTAATCGCAATAATATGGCAAGCGTCAGCAGCTGTAGAGCAGAGGCGGTCGGCAGCTGAAGAGCGAGATTTAGAAAGTGAGGACGCACCACCGACTTTTAAATCGGAGGCGTGGAAGCATTTTGGCTTCCCCAAGACAGAAAACGAAAAGAGGTGAGAAGATAACAGACGAGACAAAAACTGTGAGCAAATATTGCAAGAAGAAAGGGAACTACACTAATAACACAACCAACATGATGCAGCATTTAATCGAACACCACGATGAGAAGCTCCAATCACCTCCTCTTGTAGAGAAAAAAAAAAAACAGACTGACAAGCGGGTTAGCAGCCCCTAAAGGAATCTTTTACAATAATAATTTGTCTCCGGTCTCATTTTGTAAAATAAATCGAGAGAGAATCGTATCGTGAGTTCAGTGAACCGTTACATCCCTACTTATTTCTACATTGGCAACAATGCTGTGCCAGAACATTGCCAACCTATTTGTGCTTTAAAATGTGACAGAGTCAATCAGTCGTGGTTTTAAAGCTTAGGTGATTTTGATTTTGATCAATAATACAACAGAGAGAATGATGTGGTATCCAACATTTAGTCAACTTTGCAGCAGTAAGAAGAGGACACACCCCCATTTTACCATCTGTTAAAAGAATACAGCATTTAATATACAAACACAGATCAATATGTATATTTCCCGTTCAAAAACAGCCTCTCCATTACATTTAGAGTAACCATATGTTTAAATATTGTAAATATCATGATTTATAAATGTCATAAATATGGATAAAATGAAGGTAAGCAGCAGTAAAGCAAACATAATACACTCTATAATAATAATTCAACAATATGCACTAAACTAGATAAACTACAAACTCTTAGGATAACTCACATTTGTCCACAGAGTCAGGACTTATTCTTGTTTTTGTTAAGAAAACAGAAAGGTTGAAAATAAGCTAAACTGAGCTAAGCTAGCTCGCTGCTGTTTTCTATAACTTGCCAGCTAATTAGCCGATTAGCTTCACTGCGATGTTAAAATGTCTGCAATGTGATGCAGAAGCTACAGATAACATGTCTCTGATATTAATACACGTTTAAATTCAAGTGTAAAAGCAGCTTCATTACCTTAGACGTGTCCAAACTTCTCTGAGGATCCGCATCAGGATCCGGATCAGACCGGCATCAAGTTTAACGCGCGGACTCATTCTGCTTCCTTTACGTCCTTTCAAAATAAAGTTCGGATGAGGTTAGATAGTGTAGATTTAAGTTGCTCTTTTATTCTGAAAGGACACATGTGAGGTTTCTTTATTGGCTTTGGTAACTTCACTCAAATCTGACCCTGTCGGCATCACGCTGATGACGTGAATTGGTGCGTTCAGGGACGCGCGTTTAAAACCACATTCCAGAGCAGCCAAAAATAATTCAATTAACTTTATAAAATGAAAAAAAGAAAGAAAGATATTAAAAATGTTCTATAACTCAGATTTCGTTTGTAGTAATGTCTCAATTCTTTTTTATATTTGAAGGGATTTTTTTTTTCAACATTTCAGTCATTTACAGTTTCTAAAAATGTACTTTTTGTGTCTTTTTTTTTTTTTTACTTTTGTTAATGTACCTCTGGACAGTTTGTATGAATATACTTCACATTTGTGGATCTATTTCAAAATAAAGGAGAATAAACACTTCATTTTTCTTATCTAAAGCTCTATATTTAACAATTGTTGTTGGAGTATACGAACAAGAAACACAATGAATAAAACACTCAGACTCGTTTAGAAAATTTTAGAATAAATTGAAATCATTGACATACTTCTTGTTGGTAACCGATATGAGAGACTCAAACATAATTTTAAATCATTTAGATACAATGCATTCGATTCTCGTCTTGTTTAATATAAAGTATCTATGGGGTGAAAAGTTATGACAGTACACTAATACTAAACATGACAATGCTTGTGCAGATCTTTATCCTTAAACACATTTTTTCATGTTGTAGTTTATATTATGGAAGTTTGATGTGAGTTTTAAATAATTTGTAAGGTAGAGGCTTCGTGTACCCATATTTGGGCTTATAGGTGAAAAAAAAATGTAGAAATTTAAGGATTATTATTTAAAAAGTCAAATTTCCACTTTTCTTGGAACATGGAGAACATACAGAAAAGTATAAAGAAAGAATAAAAATAATACAGCCTTTAAAAAATCAATCAATCAAAAAGGATTCATACATATCTAGGTAAATCGATATTTTAACAGACGTCTCAGGAAAAATGTTTCATCGTAATTCACATACCGATCACTTACAGATTTAGAAAAACTACAGAATGAACTCTCATTTCAATGACGCGGTCTCAATGCGCCGGAAGTCACTCTGACAGTGTTTCATTTCACAGGCTGCTCGCACCACCAGATCCTCCACGCTGGACAAAGACACTCACAGCAGACAGAGACGTCTACTTTACGCTATTTTACTGTAACTAGATAGATGTTATAAATCACAATTCATCTAAATAAAGTAGACCCTCGCACAGGAGTGAGATATAGTGACACATCAGTGATTGCTAGCCGTGTTAGCTGGCGTGCTAGTCACTTCGCCTGGCGTCACTTCCTACTTTTGAAAATCGCGGCCAGAAAGAAACGAAGCAGAGATGGAGCTACAAGGTAACCTGATTTATTCAGTATTTCACTGTTGTTTTGTTAAACGTTTCTTTGTTGTCTTTGTTATCAATGATATTCCTGCTGTGGTAATGTGTGTTCACAACAACGATGGTGTGTACTTTGTCCACTTCTGACCTTACATAAGATAAACGTCATATTTCAGGTCAGTCACTTAGTTATTGAAGGGTTAAATAATGTTAACAAAGATTACTGGAGATAACTGATCATTGGCTGTATGTAAGCAGGGCCAGAGTGATAGTTTCATGCCTTCAAACTTCAACTTCTTATCTCAAATTTATAACTCATCTTAACTTTACCTGATTTTATATTTTTAATCAAGGGTACAATAAAGTCTAAAGTCTACGTGTTACAGTTTTACAATCATCTTTATGTCAAGTGAGTTTTATTATATTGGGCTAAAACCTTAAAGGAGCAGTCAGTGAGATGTGTAGTGACTGAAATGATAAAGGTACCTTACAATATGATCAGACATTAAGGAAACATGCTATGTTGAAGTGCTGGCTTCTCTGACAACAATGCAGCAGCCAGTATGTCCTCCTTCTAACTTTAGATTCTGGTCCTGAATGCTCTGGATTTTTTTGGATAGGCGGTTTTAAGGCGACCCCCTCACACGGCCGTTTTGGACGCCCCTCGGTTTGCCGGATATGAGAGCAGTTATCAGGTCAAACCAACAGGTGTTGCAGCGATGGAAGCGGTCAAGAGAACTGGTTCAGATAGAAGTGATTGTACTCGACCTAAAAAGCCTCTGCATGTTTCTAATAAGCTCCACGAGCAGAAACGTGCTCAAACTAGGATCAATATTGGAGATGCTTTTGAAAAATGGAGAGAGGTTAGAACGCAGGAAGGTTTACAGGTTTTATCTTCACTAGAATCATTAAAGTTGAAAATTCTAATATCAGCCACTACCTCTTATTCCATTTGGGGCGCGGTTGGCAAGAGCCAATAACAGCTCTCATTGGGCAAGAGGCAGGGTACAGCCTGGACGAGTGGCCAGCCATTCAAAGGGGGTTAGATAGAGAGACAGACGAGCCTCATTCTGCTGTCATGACAACGGAAATTTAAATAAGACTCTCTGTCCTTGTCTCTCAGTGGGATCTGAACCAATGACCCTCGGATCTCCTACTTCTCCCAAGCCGACCCCTGGAGCTCAATTCCTTCCTGGCTTTCTCATGGGAGACCTACCTGCTCCGGTTACCCCCCAGCCACGCCCCTTCAGCCTGACGGCCCCCCTCATGGAGAGCACAGGTACGCACTGAGGTCACAAGAAGAAAGACATCCACGTGGAGATCAGCCGATTTTGTGAATTCATCAGTGTGTCTTGCTCTGCACTTTAGTAGGAGGTGGAGGAGGCTCTGCCCCACAGCCCGTTGTCCCCACCCCTAAGGACAAGAGTGGAGCCCCACCTGTTCGCAGTATACATGACGACTTGGTATCTGTGGCGTCGCCCCTTCACACACACAGGCAGGTGAGTACGCAAAGAGCTGTGCCTGCATTGATGGAGATGGTCCTGATGATAAAATCATAAGAAACATTCTCACGTTGAATCCTGAATGTTAAGTAACCGTCTGTTTCTGTTCAGTCGTTTCCTGTGATGCAGTCTCCTCTGTCGGCACGCGGGGGCCTCCACTCCAGGTACAGGAACTCACTGATACTATCAACACTGCTGATTGTAGTGAATTTTGTCATTACAATATTTGGTCAAAATGATATGGAAAAACTTCGTAGGGTTGTCACTATATCAGAACTTTATGCTCAGATATGATACTAGTAAAAATCGAATGATATCAATATATGTTTGGATATCTAGGCAATAGAAAATAACCCCTTATATTGTGTAATTTCTTGTATTTAATAAATAAAAATTGGGTCACCGAATAGTTTGGTGGTTCTATCGTGTCCCATGGGTGGAGGCTTTAGTCCTCATCGCTGCAGCCGTGCTGTTGAATCCGACCTCGGCCCTTTGCGACTACCACTCTCTCTTCCCGACGCTTCCTGTCTTTCTTCAGCTCTCCTACCTAATAAAGGCAAAACAGCCCAAAAAATACCTTTGCAGACAAACTCCTTCACCCTGTCTAAATTGCACAAATACTTTGGCAACGTTTTGGGACTGAAGGGTTGCGAATGCTTTTAAAGAATTCAGACAGAGCTCTCTTTCTTTCTCTCACAGCACCTTTAGTGAAAGATATGATGTTAAAGATTTAAGCTTTGTTACTTTTATTACTCTCTATTATAAAATAATAGATTTTTGTCCTTTTTCAAACACATTGTATTGAAATATCCAACATTTTGACAACTTTACACCCTCACTTTTGTCTGCATCCTGCTCTGTAGCAGATTTCTTCTTCTGCACCTCCTTACTTTGTTTCTTTCTTAAAATGTTGGTAAAGTAATTTAGCTTTTTGTATAACTACTGGTAAGCTCTACATATTCTAAGATGTTGGTACGCTGAGAAGCCCCAGGTTACAGGTTTTATCAAGTTGTCATAATCAGAAATGTACACAGATTACATCTGATGTCTCTGTTTACTGTCAGCTGTATTCACCTGTCTGTCTCTCCCCCTGCCTCTCCACCTGTCTGTCTCTCCCCCCTGTCTCTCCACCTGTCTGTCTCTCTCCCCCTGCCTCTCCACCTGTCTGTCTCTCCCCCCTGTCTCTCTCTCCCCCTGCCACTCCAACTGTCTGTCTGTCTCTCTCCCCTGCCTCTCCACCTGTGTCTCTCCCCCGGCCTCTCCACCTGTCTGTCTCTCCCCCCTGTCTCTCTCTCCCCCCTGCCACTCCAACTGTCTGTCTGTCTCTCTCCCCTGCCTCTCCACCTGTGTCTCTCCCCCTGCCTCTCCACCTGTCTGTCTCTCCCCCCTGTCTCTCTCTCCCCCCTGCCACTCCAACTGTCTGTCTGTCTCTCTCCCCTGCCTCTCCACCTGTGTCTCTCCCCCGGCCTCTCCACCTGTCTGTCTCTCCCCCTGCCTCTCCACCTGTCTGTCTCTCTCCCCCTGCCTCTCCACCTGTCTGTCTCTCCCCCTGCCTCTCCACCTGTCTCTCTCTCCCCTGCCTCTCCACCTGTCTCTCTCTCCCTGGCCTCTCCACCTGTCTGTCTGCCTCTCTCCCGTGTCTCGCTCTCTCCACCCATCTCTCTCTCCCCCTGCCTCCCCCACATGTCTCTCTCTCTCTCCCCTGCCTCTCCACCTGTCTGTCTGTCTCTCTCCCCTGTCTCTCCCGTGTCTCTCTCTCCACCCGCCTCTCTCTCCCCCTGCCTCTCCACCTGTCTTTCTCCCCTGCCTCTCCACCTGTCTCTCTCTCTCTCCCCTGCCTCTCCACATGTCTGTGTCTCCAGGTGTGCAGCAGCTGTGCATGTCTCCAGCTCAGGTGGATCCCTTCTACAGTCAGGGAGAGTCTCTGTCCTCTGACGATCAGCTGGACCAGACCTGGGTCACAGTGTTCGGGTAATCACACTGCTTAAAGAACTACTCAAACTGTCAAACTGTCTGTTAAAATGTAAATACTTTAAAATACTCTGTTTATGTGTTTAAGTTTTCCTCCAGCCTCGGCCTCCTACATCCTGCTGCAGTTTGCTCAGTACGGAAACATCCTCAAACACACGGTGAGACACAAACTTCATATGGTCATGACTCATGTCTTAGTGCATCAACAACTTTTTTTTTTTTTTGCCATGATGAGGACGAGACATTGACGAGCTTAAGATAGATCTATGATTGTAAAAACAATGACAAAATATACGTTTTGTTTTCAAAGAAGAATTTATCTGAACAACTGAATGGCTGTAGAACGGGCTGTATGATTGGCAACACTGTGATAAACCATCTAACGTATGCGGATGATTTGGCCATTTTCTCTCCCAGTAGTGCTGGGTTTCAGCAGTTGTTAAATGTGTGTACAGAATATGGTGCCAAACATGATGTGCAATATAACTCAAATAAGAGCAGTGTGATGATATGTAGGGCAAAGGGAGATAAGGACCTCCACTTTCCTCAATTTTATCTTTCTGGGGAAGAACTTTGTGTTTGTTATAAAGCCAAATACCTCGGACACTTTATAACAGATCAAATGTCTGACGATGACGACAATATGTTGGCAAGAAAATTTCATATTTGTTCTGAGATATGTCTCTTTAGAGCATATTGCACTCCCCTGTATACTGCCCCCTTATGGGGTAAGTTCAAAAAATCAAGTATGCACAGACTTCAGGTTCATGATTGTTTTAGGATCTTACTAAAAAAAAACAAGGTGGAGTAGTGCAAGTGAGCTATTTGTGTATGCAGGAGTTAACACCTTACAAGCTTTATTGAGGAACCTGATGTACAGATTTATCGGTCGCTTGAATGATTCTAAGAATGTAATTATAATGCTGCTGTCAAACCCAAGTTATAGTGCAGTACGCTACCAGTCATACCTTTTGGAGACATTGAAATAAGTGCCTTTTATAAGAGGTGGGAATGTTTTTATTGTATATATGTGTGTTGTCTATTTTTGACTATTTTTTTACTTATTTTTTGTATTGTATGTCTTTTAAAAATGGACCTTGAGTCTAATAATAAAAGTTGATGATGATGATGAAAGAGATGAGGCGGGTCCACCAGGGCATCTAATCTGTCAGTCACAATACAAGCAGAAGACAGGAGGTGTGTGTGTGTTTGTGCACTGCTAGAAAATGAGTTCTCTTCCTCCTGATGTTTTTTTATTTGAAGCCTTTTAAGAGGCGTTAAAAGCTGAAAGTGTTACTCAAGTTGTATGAAAAGTCTCCCTGTGCAGAATGCTACTCGTGTAATCCAGCTGACTTAAAAAAAACTTTCACTTTTTCTTAAACTCTTTTGCATTAGCAGGTGTGTAGTTTTGTGAAGCAGAGGGACAGAGCGAGCACGAGCTGACAAGCAATACACCTAGCTTGTCTTTAATGTTCTTATTTTCCATGTGTACACAGATGTTTCAGAGAATATATGGTCATGAAAACTTGCGTCACAGTCATGGAAAAGTATTGGCAAAAATGTGTATGAACCCTGCCAGATGTCAAATCAGGTCAGCTCCGGTGTACAGCAGAAGGGAAAAACACTCCTACTGCGATGTGTGTGTGATTCAGAAATCATTCAGACAAAGTGGAGCCATCATTGACGTGTTGATTTCCCCACAGATGGCGTCTCCTGGTAACTGGATGCACCTTCAGTATCAGTCCAGACTCCAGGCCAGGAAAGCTCTGTCTAAAGATGGGAAAGTGTTCGGAGACGCCATCATGGTGGGGGTCAAACCCTGCATCGACAAGGTCAGTGCCTCTCTTTGCCCTCCTGCTTTTGGGTACAATCAAAATGCTGAAGCTTTAAAAAAAAAAAAACAAAGCCTCCAGATCTTCAGTCATATTTTTAACCAAACCACTTTCTGAATTGCATCGTCAATGTTGTTGTTCAATTTAGACAGTGTGCAGGTGTTAGCCTTGGATTTTTGCTAATTAAAAACAAAGAATGACCCAATGTTGGGTGCAGATTTCTTCTATTTTTGTTCCTGTGGTATCAGAACAGGTGTCGATATGGTTTATTTGATACTAGAATCAAGTCGAAAGTCTAAAATTCTGATATCGGGACGATCCTGAATTTGTTTCTTTCTCCTCTTCAGGGTGTGATGGACAGCAGTGTCGCCGTCTCTACTCCCCTCTCCACATCCTTCTCTTCCACCGTCCTCCCCTCCACTCCTCGCTCCGCCATCAGACCACTCAGTGCGGCCTACAGGAGCTCCAGCAGCGACTACCAGGTGACGTCTCACGATTCACTTCCTTCTTAACCTTAAAAAAGATCTGAGCTGCGCGTATGTTTGGCCTTGAAGATAAATTTATGTTGATGTGTTTGTGTGTCTTTAGGTGGTAGCAGACAGACAGACGCCCAGAAAGGACGACAGTTTTGTCTCGAAGGCAATGGAGTACATGTTTGGATGGTGACATTACACAAAGCATCATGGGAAACCTGCAGCATCAGAGGAGAGAGGAGAATCTTTGGACAAATGGATGAACTGATTCACTACATGGTGTTTGAGAGAGAAAGAGAGTGTGTGTGTGTGTGTGTGTGTGTGTGTGCTGAGGTGAAAGATTTTTCTGTCTCTTCTTTTATATTTAGTACTTTTTAAATATTTTGGTCTCAATAAAGTTTTTGCCAAGTTTAAAGTCAGTAGTAGTTTCATTTAAAGGTGATGTTCCCTCAGCAGCCACTGGGGGGGGCACTGTTCATTATACAGAGTGCATACACAGTCTTATGTTTTCTTGCTTCTGGACATCTTGTTCATGAATCCAGGATCATTAATGTTTCACTCTCAGCCCACTCTCCGGTTTCAGTTTTATCCCCAGAAATCTTCAACATTCTGCTTTTGAGATGAACACAATGTACTTGTACCCTGATAAAAGGATAAGCGCTGTGTGGAGACACCCCTTATTCCCATAATGCCCCTATGCCCTGCTGTTAAGTTACCTACTTTACAGCCCTTAGTTGCCACAGAAATGAAAACAGCATTGCCACTTTCAACAGACCCAGGCTCTATTTTTTTTTTTATGCAAGCTCCAGGTAGTGACAACACCGATACTACCTACCCTACCGCATGGCCCCCATTGGCCCCCACAACTCAACCAGGTAGACCAATGGGCAGCAAGAGCCATGATATCACCAGGGTTGTCAAGTGCTAACCTCCATTTGCTGGTGATTTGTCCGATTAGTCCCACAACACCTCAGGAAGGCAAGACTGTGAGCTCCATCCCAGAGCCATCCCCAACCCTGATCGAGGATAGAACCCTCCCCTGTTGGATCATACTGTAGCTCTACCTCACTTACTCCCCTTATTTTCATGACAGAGGAGAGGAAAGAATATGAAAAAAAACCCTTCATATATATATATATATATATATATATATATCCCCTGACTGGTTTTAACTGCTTCATCTGACACCCCCCTCCTTGTAGAGGTTGTGGTCATCAGTATTCTGATCCCATTCATACACATTTAAGCACAGCCGACGAAGCAGCGGGATCAACTTTGGGTTAAGTGTCTTGCCCAAGGGCACATTGAACATGTTGCTGCAGGAGCTGGGGATCGAACCCAGATTGGGAGACGACAGACTCTACCACTGATCCACATTCGCTAATTGGTTGAGCTAAGATGGAGAGATGCAGGCTTAGCTAAAAAATGTTCAAAGAAGAGAAGAAGAATCATTTAACTTTGTTGAAAGCAAAAGAAGTGGATCTGTTTAATAACTAACAGTACAGTGTAAGATATCTGTGTGGACTTTCTTTAAAGTGTCAATTGTATTGCTGTCCAGCAGATGGAGTCTCGAGAACAGCTGCAAAAATCACAAGAACACCAAACCAGGAAGTAGACATAAAGAACTCCACGAACCTTTCCCTTTAGCTTAAAAACAGGTTTACACGTCACACCCTCTCTTTCAGTGATGTTTCAAGTTAGGCAACATTCTTTGAACAAGGAAGGTGCACCCTACCTATCGGGAATTACACTGCACGTCACTGATGACTAATGGATCATAATGTCTTACCAAGTTGCTAACAAACACACTCCTGCCAACACTCTACCTGTCTGCCAAATTGGCTCAGACAGGCAGTGTTGATCAGGTTTCAGAAAAATCCTGTTTAAAATTCAAGCTTGTGAAGTGTTGTTTGGTACATTATGAGTCCTTTATTCTGTGATATTAACACTTTGACTTATCTCAGTCACATGGAGTTACATTTAACAGATCAGTGATGCCTCAGAGATACAGTAATGGAGGGGGGGGGGGATTTCTTAGTCATGTCAGAAATCTCTCAGCAGCTGACCTTTCTCCTCGTAGCCAATTACTCCCTGTGTACCTGATCCCAGCGACATATGGTCTACTCCGCCTCGCACTGCTGCTGCAGGGGATAAATGACTGGATCAGGCCTCCCAGGCTGCAAGAGTGTAGCACAGACGGCTGAAAGGAAACCCAGAGGGGGGATGTGAGAGGAGGAAATGGGGTGGGGGGGAGAGGGAGATTTGGTTTGGCTTATGGTTTGACCTACCTGACCTGACCTAGGACATTTGAAACAATTTTATGGAGCAGTCAGCGAATTGGAACAACTTTCAGAACCATGTGAGAGATTAAATCTGTATACAGTCTTCTCTGAGGTCTTGTCTACATGCACAAGTGTTTGTGGCCTGCTCGGACATCTTCCTCGGCCCCTTTTCTACACATACAGAGTATATATTTTGCACTCTTTTTTTATGTTTATTACAAGTCTGTTTTTACATGTTTGTCCACCGGTTGCACATTAAATCTAATTGGTCTGTTTGCTTGTCTGTCCAGGGAGGAGGGATCAAAATCAGCTTTACTCACTAGGAATGAGAGCTCTCGATGTACATATATACCTACTTTGATACCAAGTCAACGAACATAGAAGTCCTATGCACCCAATATTGGGCCATTTTTTGTTTTTAGTTACCAAAAATTTCAGGTATAAACTCCTGCTTGGCAATGTTCATCACCCAATCGTTGCCACGGTATTTGTACTTTAAAGACAGTGATCTCTGTCTTTCTCTTGCAGTAGCTTAAAATATGACTGAAGATCTGTTGTTTATTTTGAAGCTTACTTTACCGTACTATCAGAGATTGTATTGTTTGAAAGCTCGTTATCTTGAAAATCTTGACAGCCTTACACAGAAATACATAAATCAGCAGGAAATAACCCAACAAGCTCAACAAGGTAACACTTTGTACAGGCCTACACACATAAATGCATATGAAAGGAAATGTTTATGGAATAGGCCCATGTACAAGAAAAATGACAGCAAATGTAAATTAACTGGCAGCCAGTAAGAAAATGTGCACTGATAAAGAGAATGCTGAAATCAATATGATAATATAGAAGATTTAAAAAAGCTATTACCTGTGATGGTTGAGTATAATAATAAAGACGATACATTAGGGCAGTGGTTCACAACTGGTCTAGCCTCAGGACCGACCACCACCACATCCTATATGAGAAATCATGACTAATATTTCTGAAATAGTTAAAACACTCAGATTTATTTAAATAAAAATGGTGCACTTTGGACCTCAGATGGGAAAACATGTGACAGAAAAAAGAGATGGAACAAAACAAACATGTTTTAAAAGTGCATAATGGACTTTATGCAACACATTTGCGAACCATGGAAAACAGCTCTGTGACCCACTTTTTAGGTCCCGACCCACCAGTTGAGAACCACTGGATTGGGTTGTATTTTAACAAATAACGTAGATCAGGGATGGGCAACTTTGGTCACAGCAAGGGCCACATTTATTTAATTCTGACTGCCAGGGGACCAAATTGTGAGATACAACAATGATAACAGTCAATTATGTCTCAAATTTAACTCAACATATACAATCAAATATTATTATGGATATATTTCTGGGTTTTATGACTTCATGGCAGATTTTGTCATGTTTTGATATATACAAAATTGACCTGAGGGCCACATTGAGGGTTGACGAGGGCCGCATGTGGCCCCCGGGCCGCCATTTGCCCACCCCTGATGTAGATTATCCTTCCTCAGTTTTATTGCGATAACTCATCACTTTGGTGCGTAAACACCAAAACAATCCATGAAACAGGCCTGAGATCTACTTGTAAATATTCAATATATATATTTTTTTTAAATATGAAAAAGTTAAGTTTTGGCATCTAGGTTTTTAAAAGCCGTTAAATTAAACGTTACTTGGTTAGATTTGGGTAGAAAACAGAAACTCCAACCAACCGTATGATCGGTTTCATGTGTCTTCAGAAAACTCAACTGCGTTTTTTTTTTTTTGCTGTTCGTCAAACCAATCCAAGAGATCTCGCGATACTTGCCAATCAGCCACTGGCCTCGGGTTACAGCGACGACGATATCTCGCGCTACCTGAGCACTCGATGTCTCATTCCACCGCGATCAAGCCTGCCAGGAGGGGGTTTCACTTCAGCAGCTCAACAAGCAAAGCGTTTCATCTGGAAACTTGAACGGAATTTATATTTATAACTAACACTGTTGTTTTATTTATTTAAAGCAAACGTCGTCGTCTTGATAACTCTAAAAAACACGTAACTCAAAGGTTGTTATTTGTACAGGAAAAGGGAAGTTAATACGTTTGAGCAAAAAAGCCGGGCCGTGCTAACAAAGAAAATCCTTTCTCTTCAGAAATAATCCCCCACTTCTCTCTTTAGTTATGAGTCATGTGGTCGTCGATAATCCACACGGTCTAGATCAGCAGGTGAGTACTTTAAAAATGTTTACTACTTTGTGTTTTAGACGAAGCAATTTGGTGGTTTTCCTGTAACACGCACATGTAGTTTCGACCCGAGAGAAGCGGCTCGTTAGCATCGTGCTAAGCTAAACGTTGCGGCTGTTAAAATGGAGTCGCTGTGGAGGAGATTGTGATGGCGGAGCTCGTCCCTACGCCGTGCCAGTTAATCAATTATCCAACACCCTCCAGCGCCTTGTTATCTTTCGAATCGTCGAGTGGTAGTTTTTAAAAACAGCATAACATGTTTGTGTGACGCTTTCTTCTGTCGAATAATTTGAATTAAAGGACGTTTACACGGGTTAGCTTACGCCAACGAACAGTGCCGGTATTCGTTGCTAGCTAGCTGGGCCTTCACGAACTGAAACGTGGCGCAGGAGGAAATGTTGGCACCGGGTTTATCCACAGTTTGAGTTTTAAAGTTAATTCGTCAAAATTAACACTGAATTAACTCGCTTTGTTTTTTATGTCAAAGCTTTATATTTGTTATTTTTTCCCTTGTATTTTTTTATATATTTTTTTTTTTACGTGTCAGTATTTTTCCGGCTTATTATCAAAAACAAATAAGTATTCTCAACCTTTTTGTTTTGGCCAAGTACTCCTTTGTCCGGACAAACACATTTTTCAGGAAATAACTTAGGAAAAGAATGAATAATTCGATGTATGTGGTCTTCATGCATTCATCCATTTATAATATAGCATGCATTATTTATATCCTGACATTGGAAATTGAGCCCTATTTGATGTTGCATAGAGAACATGTGCTCTTAATTAATGATGTCTTTAATGGGTATATGGATTTATCTAGAAGTCATGATATTGTTTTGTTGTGGT